GTTGTGTGGTCCGGTAGCAATGCCGACAAAAGGTGATTAGATACCAATAAGAGACGGGTTATTTCTAGTTGCTGATTTTGGCTGCTGAATTAAGCAGTTAAGAATGCCCGCCTATAGTGAGTGAATGCCTTTTTGTCTCACATGTGATTCCTAAAGTAAAATTGTGATATATATTAAGAGTCTCAGTTTTATACCTATGTTGTGACAGTGCGAATAACATTTGTTAGGAGACCGTTTCGGTTGATGAAGAACAGTTTCCTATGAAATGTAAGTGAAATGTATAGACTTCAAACCAAATGTCTACTACACTCCGGGGAGGAATTCCAATTTATTTACCAAATTGTTTGCATTTTCAACATTAGATCAATTATCAATTATTTAGGATGGGGACGCCACAATGTGCGTATTTTAACCCAAATATGAGTGAAGGATGAGTGCACTTTTTTGGTTCTTTCTTTTAAGTATGTATGCTTATTTAAGTTTTTTTATCATACCTACCAATAGCCATGGATCCTCCCGTTGTACAACGGACTCTCGAACTTCCTTTAATCCATTCAAATGCTATGTAAAATTCACGTTATTAATAACAGTTTGGTATTCAGTTTCCAAACTGCTACTGTTTTTTAGACTATTCGGTTCTTTTTCAAATGCCAAGTAATAAATGTCGAGTTATGAAAACCAATTATTTTTATTTAACTTATTTAGAAGGCGGAGAGTCAAGTTTGCAACAACAACTTATGCAACGTGGATGCATCCTAATGCTCTTCCGATATAAAATGAGACCCAACACAACGCACCACGTGACAAATGTTTAAAATGTCCGTTCGCCGGAAGTCACGCAAAATATTTATGACAATTGAGGAAGTCATAAGAAGAACTGAAGGTCGCCATTGACGTCTTGGTCGCCGTGACGAGCTATATGTGCGATCTTGAACATTTGCGTGAGCGTGATGGATGCAGCCCGTGAATCGCGAAAATCCGATGATTGTAATTACTGTGAAGATTGATCATCTAGACGGTAATCAATCTTTGCTTTACAGTGAAGGTGAAGGTTTTAGCTGTGAAATGGCAGTGATTTTAAAAATTCTGTTACATTTCATGGACTGGGTTTTAGCATAGACAAAAGTATTAAATAATAGACTGTCAGCCGTTCTGCGGTTACCATAGGTTCCATAGGTTATCATAGGTTACCATAGGTGCTCACGGCGGTGTGCGCCAGAACCTATGGTAACCGCAGCATAGCTGACAGTCTATTTTTTAATTCTTTTTGTTTATGGTTTTAGAGAATTTTGGTCTCTATAATCTAAAGATACCATGAAAAAGTTTAAGGGAAGAGAAGAGTGAATCGAAAAAGGAAATGTATACCCGTGAAAGGATTTAAATAACCAACCACTCAATATAATTCAAAAATATTATGAATTGGATATATTCCTTTTCTTTGAGCTTGGATATTGAAATTGGCTGTCGAGCAGATCCAATTGAAATCCTATGTGTGTCCAATATAAACACAGTTATGTGTATTAGGGCACAATATAAACACAGTTATGTGTATTAGGGCAAAATATAAACACAGTTATGTGTATTAGGACACAATATAAACACAGTTATGTGTATTAGGGCAAAATAAAAAACACAGTTATGTGTATTAGTGTACAATATAAACATAGTTATGTGTATCAGTGCACAATATAAACACAGTCATGTGTATTATGGCAAAATATAAACACAGTTATGTGTATTAGGGCAAAATATAAACACAGTTATGTGTATTAGGGCAAAATATAAACACAGTTATGTGTATTAGTGTACAATATAAACATAGTTCTTTGTATCAGTGCACAATATAAACACAGTTATGTGTATTAGTGTACAATATAAACATAGTTATTTGTATCAGTGCACAATATAAACACAGTTATTTGTATCAGTGCACAATATAAACACAGTTATTTGTATCAGTGCACAATATAAACACAGTTATGTGTATTATGGAAAATATAAACACAGTTATATGTATTAGGGCAAAATATAAACACAGTTATGTGTATTAGTGTACAATATAAACATAGTTATTTGTATCAGTGCACAATATAAACACAGTTATTTGTATCAGTGCACAATATAAACACAGTTATGTGTATTATGGAAAATATAAACACAGTTATGTGTATTAGTGTACAATGTAAACATAGTTATTTGTATCAGTGCACAATATAAACACAGTTATTTGTATCAGTGCACAATATAAACACAGTTATGTGTATTATGGAAAATATAAACACAGTTATATGTATTAGGGCAAAATATAAACACAGTTATGTGTATTAGTGTACAATATAAACATAGTTATTTGTATCAGTGCACAATATAAACACAGTTATTTGTATCAGTGCACAATGTAAACACAGTTATTTGTATCAGTGCACAATATAAACACAGTTATGTGTATTATGGAAAATATAAACACAGTTATATGTATTAGGGCAAAATATAAACACAGTTATGTGTATTAGTGTACAATATAAACATAGTTATTTGTATCAGTGCACAATATAAACACAGTTATTTGTATCAGTGCACAATATAAACACAGTTATGTGTATTATGGAAAATATAAACACAGTTATGTGTATTAGTGTACAATGTAAACATAGTTATTTGTATCAGTGCACAATATAAACACAGTTATTTGTATCAGTGCACAATATAAACACAGTTATGTGTATTATGGAAAATATAAACACAGTTATATGTATTAGGGCAAAATATAAACACAGTTATGTGTATTAGTGTACAATATAAACATAGTTATTTGTATCAGTGCACAATATAAACACAGTTATTTGTATCAGTGCACAATATAAACACAGTTATGTGTATTATGGAAAATATAAACACAGTTATATGTATTAGGGCAAAATATAAACACAGTTATGTGTATTAGTGTACAATATAAACATAGTTATTTGTATCAGTGCACAATATAAACACAGTTATTTGTATCAGTGCACAATATAAACACAGTTATGTGTATACGTGCACAATATAAACACAGTAATGTGTATACGTGCACAAAATAAACACAGTTATGTGTATCGCCTCAGACTGCTTGTATCGTGTTGCAGATACTGGTAACTTTCACTTACATCGGCGCCGGCGCCTCAAACGTTGCGTGCTACTGAGCCGTTCATACGCGCGAAGAACTACTTATTACGTGGTTTTTCGCAGTATTTATAATTTCTGTAGGATTTAGTGGAGTCTGAAGTCTAATTTCCTTGTTTTGAATCAACTTGAACACTTGAATGTCAATAGACTTAAGTTTAGCTTTCAATCTCATAAAAGATTTTTTTTATTTATTATTTTCATCCGTAATGGAATCATATTTACAAATTCCAGAATTCTTTCTGCATCAATCATCAAATAAAGGTATCAATCAATTTATGAAATAAGATATTATTTTCGGTTGTATACTCAATGATGTAAATATTTTCCGTTTACTCAGTATTAATTTTCACCACCGTTTAAGCTTTTGAATGACTTTTGGCCACATTAATTTGGTACGTTTTCCATGTGATTACACTAAAATTGCATAGGTTTCTGTCTTTAACTGTAACTTAATATTATCGTAAAAACGTTTAATTGCCATCTCAATGTACTACAATTAAATAGTACCAGAATTTTGCATTTCAAAGAAAGCTGTTTATCAGAAGGGATTTAATTTCAAAATCGTAATTATTTAAAACCTCTCGTTTCCGAGAAACCATTCTAATAAAACAGCTGTATAAAACGGGTAATCCACGGCGTTTCGCAGAGTTGTTCTTACGTTCCTCAGGGCAAGGATGACGTCAATGGGATTCTGACGTCATCGTTCTGACCTACATGGTCAATAGTAGGTGAACAACCTCGTATAAATACAACTACGTGTGACTTCTTCTGATTGTAAATATACACAATTGACATGGGAAAACTTACTATCTTAACACTAGCCTGATTACTTAGGTGTGCAACTTTGTCTATTGTTTTAAAATGTACTATATTCCAGGGAATTTTTCTCTTTTAGTTTGCTGTTACTCTAATGTTCAAGCATTTCTATCTTTACAGGTTAATACTGATTATATTTAATTGTTTACAAAATAATTTGCGTACTTTTCTGCAAGCGCTTTTAAAAAGAAAAATTCCGTAAGTTGAGTATTATTTTTAAGTTATTCGACTAACGCACATATAAGATACCACAACAAATGTAACTGTTTTCGTAATTTACCATTTCCACTGGCCTCCCGACAGTTTTCAAAAGAGACTTTAATGGTGGGTGATGCTGAAGTCTGAGGTATACTACGATATATCGACACGAAACACTTTCTAAAGTACAAGTTTAACTGTTTAAAGTATATGTTTATATCTATTATATTATGGTTATCTATTATACAATAGGTTTGTATTTATCTTTATATTTTATCTGCAACAGTAAAATCATGAGGTCGTAAGTTTGCCTCGATAAAGAAAGGATTTTCATTTGAAATCATACTAATTTTTATAGTTTTCATTTTCAACAAAATAAATAACAGTTTTTTTTTAAATTTTCCTTTAGCGTAACGTTCTTGTTCTTTAGATTTTATACGCAAAATTAACACAGAGTGGTCTTATTTGCTTGACATTCGATTTGTGTACAGTTCAAAGTTCGCCTTCACAGACTCTTTAAGGTCTGATATACATTAGTGTTATAAAAGATTCTGTGGAAAAACTTTAGCTTAGTATTGGAAATAAATATAACGGAAAATATATAATTGGGTAAAACTAAATCGCACTTCTGTCTCAATTAGTATTGACTCTAACTCAAAGGTTACTGGATGTATTAACCCTGACGATATATGGCTCGTTCACTTATAGAAACAATCTGCTACTTCCTTTCAAGGAATAATAGGAAGATTAATTCCCGGACACATTGACGTCACCAAACAGCTGATGGCTCTAGGATCTCCCTCTTTTCCACCAGTCGTGCACCAGCGTTGCCTCAGTCTCGTGCAACATGACGTTCTACACGGCCGCTCTGTTGTGTCTCGCTCTAACATCTGTTAACTCTCTCAACCACTCGCTCACCACGATACGTGAGTTTACATAACTTGCTCTTATAAAACTAGCTCAAATATCCTGAGTTTTTAGTGTTTTTGTGTATTAAGTGTGGGAGAATCTGTTATGGGTGTTATTGTTATGATTTTTTGTGTATCAGTGGTATTACAGTTTCTTGATAATTCTCTTAACTTTTAGTGTTGTAATTTGTCCATACACTAATTGGAAAATGATATATTTGGCTTGTACGTTTTATTTTCAGTATCTTAAGTCAATGGTTTTATCGTCAGTGTTTTTTGTATACAATCAGCTGTATTTCAGTTTCTTGTTAATTGATTAAACGTTTAGTGTTGTAGTTTGTCCATGTAATAAAAGTATCGAAAATCTATACTACTAGGATTGAACGTTTGATTGTCACTATTCTTTGTATATAATCAATAGGGTTACAGTTTGTTTATGATTCAGTAAACTTTTAGTGTTTCAATTTGTCAATTTTTACTTCTTCAAGTACCGGTAGCTCATCCGTAAAAGTATGCGTATTAATTATTATTTTGTATGCAATTTTATTTTGTTATTTTTTATTATTTTGTTTTACAATTCTTTGTGTACAGAAATCGTACAGTTTCTAGAATAAGTCAATTCACATGATCTTTTTATTTACTTAATTTTTTTTTGAACATTGGAATCACTCAGGTCATTTTAATATTAAGAGGTTTTTCCTTGTATTCTGTTGCATTCTTCATATCCCCTAGTAACTATTCATCTTACCGTAGTTTTCTTCGTATAAAATCAATTTTACTACACTTTGACTTGTAGTTTTGTTTTTGCCTTTTAATGCTGTAAGTTTATCGTTATTGTTCTTTTTAAGAACTCAATTGAAATCTTATATTTGTCTTTTTTTATCTCTGTAATCCACTTGTTGGGGGTTTTTTCTTGACAATATTAACTTATCGTAGTTTTGGCTTACTTGATAATTAGGTGAATTTAAATGATAAGAATTGTTAAGGTTTCTGCGGATGTTGATGTTAAATATGTGTAAATAATGAATACAAACATGGTTAAATTAAAAATTATAATCAATAGAAAGAATTTGAAAATTTACCACTCAGGAAGTTTAACAAATAAAAAGCTCTTTTACAAAGTAGTAGAATGCATAAGCGGTCTGTGTCATCATCAATATAGTAGTCATAGTCAATAAAAGAACAGAAAAACGCGATTGAATTTTGCAATGGGCAAATGACTTGTATAAAACGTCTTTTGAAGTAAAAAAATCATGATATTTTTTACTTTATAAAAACAAACATTACAATAATATATACCGGCTCTAACCTACATGATTTATTATTAAAAACGTATCAATATTCATTTTAGCGCAGTATACATTTTTCGCTGTATTGAAACCAAAATTTTTTTCAAAAATTTAGATGGTTAAATACAAACATCGTGTTGAAATGCAAATTAAAAATTAAATCAACATAACCGAAAAACTTGACTTAGAAATCGTAAACAATTCCACCGTCAAAGGGGAATGGAACAATATTTCAAAAAAGTAAGGAACATGTAGCTTTGTTTTAAATTCATATTCATTTAGGTAAGGCTAGGCTAGGCTAGGTTTATTCTATGTAGAATAACAGAACGATATATAAAATTACAAAAAGGTATTTTATTGAAACAAATGAACACACATGCAACGAATTTTAAAAGGCTAAGCTACGTTATAATGAAAGGACTGGACAATGGAGTGTGGGCTGAAGTTACAATAAAATAGAAGATTAATTTCAAATAAAGGTTCAAATTTACTATAGTATAATTAAGATGGGCTCTATCTCAGGGTAGGGTGTCGTGCTGGCTTGAATGCTAAGAATTAATAAATTAAATAGTGTCAAAATAATTAATTTATTAAACTTACAATATCCCTACAATTAATATCAAATTTTGAGGTTGTCCAAAAGGTAAGTCCAATCTGCAATGAAATTAAATGAGTTTAAAAGGAAAAGTATTACTTAATTTTGAAAAATAATGTTGGAGTTAGTCCTCTTAAGGTTGACTGTAATATAACTTGAATATAAACTATTTAACTTAGATGGAATCTGGACTCCTTCTTTTAACAGTTTCAACTTTCAACTATGGCTTCCTTTCTCTTCTCAGTCTTCTCGAATTTGAATGTTCACATGGGTCGTCTATTGTTGGAACACATGGATCACTGCTTACTTGATTGTAGATTCCTTAAGGACTAATTTTAAAATTATATTATAGGAAATTTTTATGTATTGCAATTTTCTTACATATTTAATAAATACCCTAACTAAGTTGTAGGCTTTGTACAAAAATATATAGGCTATGGAATGAATATTATTAATGATTAATTGAACATAGATTAATGGAATTGTATAAATAAATTTAATGAATACAAGGCCAGCCTTTCTGAGGAGTGATTAACAGCAAAGGTGTATGAACAAAAGTTAACATATTTTAAGAATCTCAATACTAAATAATTAATGAATAAAATGAAATATTACATTCAAATACAGCAAATTTACCCTCAAGTACAGTAATGTACTTAATAAATGAGATCGAATTGTCGTGTCCCTGGTCAGCAGATTGTGTTGGTGTTTGACTCATAGTCGGACTAGCTTTGATTGTGTACTTTGTGAATGAGATCGATTTGTTGTGTCCCTGGTCAGCAGATTATGTTGGTGTTTGACTCATCGTCGCACTAGCTTTGATTGTGTACTTTGTGAATGAGATCGATTTGTTGTGTCCCTGGTCAGCAGATTGTGTTGGTGTTTGACTCATCGTCGCACTAGCTTTGATTGTGTACTTTGTGAATGAGATCGATTTGTTGTGTCCCTGGTCAGCAGATTATGTTGGTGTTTGACTCATAGTCGGACTAGCTTTGATTGTGTACTTTGTGAATGAGATCGATTTGATGTGTCCCTGGTCAGCAGATTGTGTTGGTGTTTGACTCATAGTCGGACTAGCTTTGATTGTGTACTTTGTGAATGAGATCGATTTGTTGTGTCCCTGGTCAGCAGATTGTGTTGGTGTTTGACTCATCGTCGCACTAGCTTTGATTGTGTACTTTGTGAATGAGATCGATTTGTTGTGTCCCTGGTCAGCAGATTGTGTTGGTGTTTGACTCATCGTCGCACTAGCTTTGATTGTGTACTTTGTGAATGAGATCGATTTGATGTGTCCCTGGTCAGCAGATTGTGTTGGTGTTTGACTCATAGTCGGACTAGCTTTGATTGTGTACTTTGTGAATGAGATCGATTTGATGTGTCCCTGGTCAGCAGATTGTGTTGGTGTTTGACTCATAGTCGGACTAGCTTTGATTGTGTACTTTGTGAATGAGATCGATTTGTTGTGTCCCTGGTCAGCAGATTATGTTGGTGTTTGACTCATAGTCGGACTAGCTTTGATTGTGTACTTTGTGAATGAGATCGATTTGTTGTGTCCCTGGTCAGCAGATTGTGTTGGTGTTTGACTCATAGTCGCACTAGCTTTGATTGTGTACTTTGTGAATGAGATCGACTTGTTGTGTCCCTGGTCAGCAGATTATGTTGGTGTTTAAATCATCGTCGCACTAGCTTTGATTGTGTACTTTGTGAATGAGGTCGATTTGTTGTGTCCCTGGTCAGCAGATTGTGTTGGTGTTTGACTCATAGTCGCACTAGCTTTGATTGTGTACTTTGTGAATGAGATCGATTTGTTGTGTCCCTGGTCAGCAGATTATGTTGGTGTTTGACTCATAGTCGGACTAGCTTTGATTGTGTACTTTGTGAATGAGATCGATTTGTTGTGTCCCTGGTCAGCAGATTGTGTTGGTGTTTGACTCATAGTCGGACTAGCTTTGATTGTGTACTTTGTGAATGAGATCGATTTGTTGTGTCCCTGGTCAGCAGATTATGTTGGTGTTTGACTCATAGTCGCACTAGCTTTGATTGTGTACTTTGTGAATGAGATCGATTTGTTGTGTCCCTGGTCAGCAGATTGTGTTGGTGTTTGACTCATAGTCGCACTAGCTTTGATTGTGTACTTTGTGAATGAGATCGATTTGTTGTGTCCCTGGTCAGCAGATTATGTTGGTGTTTGACTCATAGTCGGACTAGCTTTGATTGTGTACTTTGTGAATGAGATCGATTTGTTGTGTCCCTGGTCAGCAGATTGTGTTGGTGTTTGACTCATAGTCGCACTAGCTTTGATTGTGTACTTTGTGAATGAGATCGACTTGTTGTGTCCCTGGTCAGCAGATTATGTTGGTGTTTAAATCATCGTCGCACTAGCTTTGATTGTGTACTTTGTGAATGAGGTCGATTTGTTGTGTCCCTGGTCAGCAGATTGTGTTGGTGTTTGACTCATAGTCGCACTAGCTTTGATTGTGTACTTTGTGAATGAGATCGATTTGTTGTGTCCCTGGTCAGCAGATTATGTTGGTGTTTGACTCATAGTCGGACTAGCTTTGATTGTGTACTTTGTGAATGAGATCGATTTGTTGTGTCCCTGGTCAGCAGATTGTGTTGGTGTTTGACTCATAGTCGGACTAGCTTTGATTGTGTACTTTGTGAATGAGATCGATTTGTTGTGTCCCTGGTCAGCAGATTATGTTGGTGTTTGACTCATAGTCGCACTAGCTTTGATTGTGTACTTTGTGAATGAGATCGATTTGTTGTGTCCCTGGTCAGCAGATTGTGTTGGTGTTTGACTCATAGTCGCACTAGCTTTGATTGTGTACTTTGTGAATGAGATCGATTTGTTGTGTCCCTGGTCAGCAGATTATGTTGGTGTTTGACTCATCGTCGCACTAGCTTTGATTGTGTACTTTGTGAATGAGATCGATTTGTTGTGTCCCTGGTCAGCAGTATATGTTGGTGTTTGACTCATCGTCGTACTAGCCTTGATTGTGTACTTTGTGAATGAGATCGGTTAGTTGTGTCCCTGGTCAGCAGATTATGTTAGTGTTTGACTCATTGTCGGACTAGCTTTGATTGTGTACTTTGTGAATGAGATCGATTTGTTGTGTCCCTGGTCAGCAGTA